AGGAAGAACAAAATGAAGAGGGACGTGCAACAAGGCAATTGGATTATGATGATGAATTTGGACTACAGAGATCAGATGTACTCCTAGAAGAAATTCCTATTGAAATGACACAACATAGTGAAAATTTATGAAATGTTGTTCGTGAGGAAGAGGAAGAGAATTATCAACATGGACACTCATAAGAAGAAAATGAAGTAAGTTCCCAACTCGCAAATCCTTTAATTACATGTAGTAGAAGCTTAAATGTTGAAATTGCTATTCATGACTTAGTATATTGTTTAAATTGTTTTTTCACTTCCAACTTGGTTATATGTTATCAGTAGTTTTGTTAATAAATTTTTGTAATTAGCCTGAAGAAACTATTAGTCGACAAGAGAGGAATGAAGAAGAATTTGAAAAGGAGCAATGTTATCTAAAGGTATGCGACTTTTCTTTTTAGGTCAAAGAAACATCATAATCTATTTGGTAAAAAAAATAAGGTATGGTGAGACTATTTAATATTCTTAAATAAATAATATAGGTACTGCATCTTAATCGAAAGAGGATTTCACCAACAAAACAATCTTTTGCTCTAAGGAAGAAGAAGTGATTCTTTGCTTGTGCAATGTTTGTGCCAACTTTTTTTTTTGGCTCTTAACTCATGTTTTGTTGATTTATTTAATAAGAAATATTAATTTTTTATTTAGTTTTATTTTCAGGAACATGGGACAAGAAGCATCTTTATGGGTCAAATTCGAGATATGATGAGAGAAAAATAATTCCTTAATATTATTTATTACATTGCCCCCATAAATTAAGAACATATTTATTTATATTTATGATTCTTTAGGATTTTAGATAATAATGATACATTAAGTATGATTGTTTTACCAATTAGATTTTCGGATGCTATTGTGTCATTATTCTATGACTAATATATTGTTTATTTGATAAAAATGTTGATGATATCTTGTCGAAAAAGATTATGTAGGGATTATTTGTTGTCTCGAAGTGGACGTGACCTTGTCCCCAATTATAGTGTATATAGGATGTCTCGTTGTCTCGCAAAATAATATTTTGGGACGGCTAAATGTCTCCACTAATAATTATTACTAGACGTCTTGTTGTCTCAAAAAATCTACTTCCAGGACACATCGTTGTCTCCAAAAATAGTTCTTAGGAGACGAATAACTGTCCCGAAAAATACTTCACTAGAGATTAATGGCTGTCTGGAGAAACATCGCATAAGGGATGGCTTGTTGTCTCCGAAGATAGTTCTTTGGGAACGACTCATCGTCTCGAAAATAGTGCATTAGGGACAACTAAGTGACTTCTAAGATAGTACTTGGCAAGGCTTAATGTCTCCGAAATACTTCATAGGATATAACTTGTTCTCTGCAAAAATACTTCATAGGGGACTAATTATTGTGTCCTAACATATTATATAGGAGACGACTAATTGACTCCTAAAACACTGCATAGGGGAGGACATATTGTCCTATATTCTTAGAAATCATTAGAAAAATTGATTAGAATTTTTGCACTTTTGGAGACGATAATGTGTCTCTGACATTGAGGATGACTTTCATTTTTTTTGTCTCCAAAAGAATATAGAACGGAACCTATAGGCACCACTCACGGGGACGACATTTGTCGTCTCCACATTATTTTGGACACAAAAAACCCATGTTTTGAAGACGAAATCTTTCGTCCTCGAAACCTGCCAATTTTTTCGTGCACGTAAATCGTGTGCGTTCCTGTTTTTGTTTTTTATTGCTATGTCGAATCCTCCAATTTCCCAATCCGCAGAAAACAGTCGTGCCACCAAGTGGTGTGAACATACCATAGTGTATAATGATTGAATACATGATATTAGGAATATATAGAAATGTCGTTTACCACATTCATCATTGTTTACCACTAGTTACCACCCATATACTAGGGTGATATGGAGTGGTACATTTTGGTCTTGTATTTTTTCATAAATTTGCAGATTGAATAAATCACGATGAACTCGTTCCATTAGTGTAAAATTTTCCAAATTTGATTTAAAAACGAAGGTGGTAATGAGTGGTATGAATTTTGTTTTGGTCAAAATATATTAAAAATGGATATTATTTTGAAGAACATAAGGAACTTATTTCATCCGTGCAAAAAAATTTAAAATCTAAATTAAAACGAAAAAAATAGAAAATAATCATTAATTCTCACTTGTTAGATTTAAATTCTCTTGATTTCTGCTTTAACCTATGATAGATAGAATCTGATTAGGTAAAGAGAGCTTCCTTGATTGATGGTGGTGAATTGGTTATACGAGAGTTAGTCAATCTACTGCTTTGTACTGGAATCCAATTCCAGTAGTGGAGTTCTGTGTTCATAGCCTCAGCTTTCTATCCTGGTGAAGGTTAGTCGCATTCCGGGTAGTTGGACTGAGAGGGCTTGGCCAGCTTAAGATATTCCAAGATACTGTCGGATCTTCCGCAGTTTAATCAACAGTAGATCAACCAAAGGTAATTGCAACTTGGACCTAATTGAGGAGCTAGAGGGAATCATACCTAAGTGAGTTCACAACTTGTAATTAGTAGAGTAGTCAGTAGAGTAGTTTATAAATCAATCCTTAATCTAGTTTGCTAGATAATGAACTGAAGCTGAGTAATAGTAACTCTAGAGACCCGTGGATTCTATATTTATTACTTGTGCCACTATACTGCAGTCCCTTTCATTGGTTACACTTGGCCATTGTTAGCTGTTGTGTTTTAGCGTGTCAGTGACTCTTCCTTTGCTTCATAAAACCGAATTATTTCCTGCTTTCTTACTCTTTTAGTTAAAACCACAAACAATCAACTTAGTTGGCTAGATAGATACTCACGAAGTAGGCAGTAGATCTAGACCCCGGGTTGATAATTAGACTTGCCACTTTACTGCATTCCCCGACTGCGATTACACTTGGTCGCAGTTAGGTGTTGTGTCGTAGCGTGTCAGTGTACCCATCCACCGGCAATGCCTTCCTTGTCGCCCTCCTCTCATTCCTCAAGGGCTTCTTCTCTCCCTTCTTCGGATTGGTATCTTCCTTCTCCTTCACTTCTTCAGTGGCGACTTCCGAAACCACCTTCACACTCATCAATTAAAGTGCATTCACCCTGGCATGGTCTTTGGGGTTCGCCACGGTTTGGGAAGGTAAGGCTCCCTTGGGTGTCTCGGTGATGATGCCGGCAAGGTTGTTGATTTTCACCTCCAAATTTGAGGTTTGTTTGATGGCTTTGGAGACCCGCCTCAACCGAGGTAAACTTGGTAGTCGCCACATGCATAAATTGCTCTTTCTTCTCTAAATTTTGGCTACTCGTACTCACAAAGGTGTTCTCTAGGTCTTCAAGCTTGGATAACTTGTCGGATTGTTTTTGTTGTTGAAACCCTAGGCCACCTTGTGCTTGGTACGATTGTTGGAAGCTTGAGCATTGAACTTGAGGCCTTTGTTGAATGAAGGTCGGCCGAGGTTGAAAATTTCGTGTGGGGCCTTGGAAACCCGGCGGCCTTGGATTTGTCAGTGATGCCCAAGAAAAGTTTGGGTGGTTCCTCCATCTGGGGTTATAATTATTGCTATACGGGTTGTTCACCCTAGCATTTGCCACGAAGTTGACTTGTCCCTCCGGGTGGTTTCCTCCTTCATTGCTTGACACTCCGCCATTTCATGGCTAGTGCTCAAGCACCAGCCTTTTTTCTTGCCTCTTATCTTCGAGCATAACCTATATCAACTTATCCAACTTCACCTCAAGCCGAGCACTCGCTCCCACACTTTTCACTCCCCTTTCATTGCTTCTTCTTCCACTTCTAGTCAACCCCCAATCGTATCCCCTGAGGGCCATGTCTTCAAGTATCTCGGTGGTTTGGGGCGGAGTCATATTCATCAATTTCCCTGGACACAAGGAGTCAATGAGAATTTTATCTTCTTGCATTAGGCCTTCGTAGAAGGTTTCAATCCGGAACTGTTCTTCAAACCCGGGGTGAGGGCACTGAAGAAAATAATCGGAGTACCTCACCCAAGCATCCCTTAGCGAGCCATGAATTGGTTGAGGAGGTCGTCCCATGAGGTGATTGACTGAGGTGGGCGATTATTTAGCCACCTAAGTGCTTTCTCCGAAGTGAGTATGGGAAAAGCCTTAGTTTCAAAGCTTCGGCCGACACACTATTGATTTCAAGCTCCCCACGAGCTCCAAGAATCTCTGCACGTGCTATCTTGGTGACTCGCTCTCAAGACCGTGGAATAGAGCATTGCTTTGTATCATAGTCACTAGAGTCGGCTTGATCTCGAAATTGTTTGCCGACACTGGAGGATGTAGCATTGGCTATTGAATGTCCGCCGGCCTTGAGGCCATATAGTACCCCATCGTCCTCGGGGAATCCTCATCCTCCCCCGCATCGTTCAACTGACGAGCTTGAGTGGTTCCCCGCCATTTCCACTAAAACAACGGGTTCAACTTCAACTTCTTGACTCGCTCTAACCGTCACTCTTGAAAATGGCCAAGTGTAACCACTTCCTAAAGCTTAGTATAGCGGGTTTGGATCTTAATGTCAACCCGGATCCTAGATGTGATGACTACTCAGTGAATTCTTATTATTTAGCAGTGAAGGTTCTTAAACAGTCTGAAGTCTGAAGTCTGAAGTCTGAAGGTTCTTACTCAGTTTTAATGATAGTTATACTGCGAAAGGTTCTTAAACAGTCTGAAGTCTCGACTAAAGGTCTCCAGACCCTCTCAATCTGAGTCTCCAGCGGGCGACTAACCTCCACCGGAGTAAACAGATTGAGGCCCTAACGAACCAAACCTCCACTACCGAAGCAAATTCGGTACAAAATAGTGAATTGGCTCCTCGACTAAAGTCGCCAATTCACTACCTTCAATCAAGGGTGCTCTATCAACCTAGGAAGATATTCTCTTCCTAGGTTAAAGTAGAAACAACAGGAATTTGATCAGGATTCATTCCATTCAATGAATCAAACCTCAATTGAATATAATCAAATCATAGACATCTGTACTTGGGTTCATACAATCAAACCTAACGTACAAATCAAGGGTTCTCCATACCGAGATGAATAAGGAAGTTACTCCATGGAGAGAGAAGCAAAAGCAAGCTCAGATGAAGAAATCATGCTGTGAAGGATGAGAATCTGCTCCTAATCGTCAATCGGCACTTCTCCAAGTGTGAGTTGAGCTCCAATGGTTCGTCGCTCTCTCTCTCCCTAGGAATCGCTTTCTTTCTCTAAAATTCAGAACCCTTGATATTTAGCCTTCTTTTCCCTAAAAAAGCTGTCTGTCGCGATCCCTGGCCTGAATACCGGTCAGGTATTTTGGGTGGCGACCGGGTATAATCAAAACGCACCGTCGGGTGACAAGGAAAATCCCCGCTCATGGCAAGGACCCCTACCGGGGATTTTAGCGTCACGACAGGGCCCCCTTCTGTTTCTCAGAGAAGCCTGAAACCAATTTTCCTCGGTCTTCTCCAAATAATACCGGGTCGGGTATTTTGCAGTTCCGGGTCCCCTATCTTTGATTCTTCGTTTCTCCCTCGTTTGGATTCCAAATCAGATGCCGTTTGATTCTAAACGCTCATCGTCTCGTCCTCTTTCTTCTCATGACAAGATTACATGATTATATGGTCACTAACTGAGGTAGAAATCTATTCTTCTTCAAGTCATACCCGAGTTTCTTCCCTCGAGTCGCCAATTGATCTCCGATTGACTTGAAACTTGCGCCTACGCTTCAATTTATGTGCTAGGACCTGAAATGTGACAAAGGAACACAACCTAGCGTAAAATAGGACAAAGAAGCAATAATGAAAGCTTAAACGATCAAGAAACAAAGGGGAAAACATGTGCAAATATCGAGTCATCAAATCCCCCCACACTTAACCGTTTGCTTGTCCCCAAGCAAACCTAACTCAAACCAATGCAAATCTCCAGACCTCTATAGAAACAAACAACCCCGATCGTCGGTCGAGGATTTTCTAGATAATATAGCAGCTTACGAGGTCAACTGGTCTTCTAAGACGTTCCCTATCTCTCTCAATGCGAGTACTAAACTCAAGCCAGGATCATGAGAAGAAGTAGAAGCAAGACATTCAGTTCATGGATAAAGGGACTCATATCATTCACTACCAAGGACTCATTGTACCGGGGTGCTCTTTCACTTCATTTCACCGTTGGAACCCTTTTTCGCTTTCATTTTACTTTATTTTTCTTTTTCCATTCACTTGGCGAGGGTTCCAACTGCAGTCTTTTGCACGGTCGACCCTTATTAGTCGAGCAAAAGCAATTTCTGTACATCTGGCGCTCGCCAGAGTACTTCTTTTAACTCCTTTTCCTCAACTCATGTGGAGGGTCAATGAATTTAAGGGGGGTCAGAAGCTCTATCCGTGCCCTTAAAAACACATCCTCAAGTAGGCAAACTGTTCAACGGGTGGAAGTTTTACTTGTACTAGAGACAGCTTAGCTTCACCTTGTAGGGGTACCCCACTAAGGATCACTAAAATCTCCTCCAATACCCGATTTTGTGCAATGAGCGGTGCCACACGCGTTGGGCTTTCCCCATGTTTAAGATTTCGATGATTTCGACATTGAGGACCAACTGCTTTTCATTTTCCACATGAGCACCCTGTTCGATACACGAGTCCATAACACAATCCAAATAGAGTCACCATTACCACATGAATTCAACGGTCTTAGGTCCACTAATTCACAAAATCAACTTGCACAGCAGAGAGCTAGATAGGAAAAATCTTATACTTCAACATCCTCCATAGTACTACACTACCTCTCTAGGTTGCACATTACTATAGAGACTGTCAATTCAAAGCATACTGAGTAGACAATTTGCATGGAAACACGTACTTGGAGCCCTCAAATTTAAAAATTTGGACAGTGGACTAGGCTCCAAGCACACAAACAGATCTAATGCAGTCAAAAGAGAAACATCCCCCCACACTCAAGTTCGACATTGCCCTCAATGGATAAGAGGGAAGGATAAGGGGAACGATGTTACCGGTGTGCACAGACTTCATAAGACAGGAAACGGACCAATCTGAGTGAAGCGGACTGGAGAAAGGACCAGTCGGGGACACAAGCACAGCTAAAGGAAACAAAAGAACTCAAACACAATACGTTAGGTCCAATGGTCAGCCCAATATTACATCATCCAAAACAAAAGAAAAAACCAAAACCGAACCAGTTTGCAATCCGACCCAAAACAAAAGAAATAAATGAAAACAGTGGTGGGGTTGCCTCCGCACAAGCGCTTCTTTACCTTCTTTTAGCTGGACTCTCATGGTGGTAATCAGCGTGGTGTAGGAACAGGTGCCTCCAAGAGTGGATCCACATCGCTCTTGAGGTACAGCTTCAGGTGGTGGCCAAGCACCCGCCGGGTGCAACCACCAGCATTGGTCAGCTCGACCTGGCCATCCGGCAAGATGCAGGCGAGTGAGTACTCGGATGGCCAGGGTGGTCATGATGCAGGAGGTGGGACCAGCTCATAGTGGTCTCCACCTTTCTTCCGAGTAGGCTTAGCCACCTGCTGCTTCGGCCGCCACTCCTCTTTGATCTTTTTGTTTGGCGGTGAGGTTGACGGGAGTGGCGGCAAAGGTTTGAGAGGGGGATCCTGCAAAACGAGAGGCACAGAGGGATACACGACAGGCTCGTGTTCCTGATAAGAAATAGCATGCATAGGTGTGATATCATGCATATCACAATGATCTAATTCAGACACAGAAAAAGTAGATTGTTCATTCCCAGCACGCAGGATCAGTTTACCATCATGCACATCAATAAGTGCCTTGGCGGTGGCAAGAAATGGTCTACCTAGAATCATAGGCACATCCACATCCTCATTTATATCCAAAATAACAAAATCAACAGGATATGTGAATGCACCTACATTAACAAGCAGATCCTCTATGATACCCCTAGGATGCACAATGGAATGGTCGGCTGGTTGAATGCTCATCCTAGTAGGGCTAGGATTGCAATTCACCAAGTTTAGTTTTAATGATAGTTATACTGCGAGAGGTTCTTAAATAGTCTGAAGTCTCGACTAAAGGTCTCCAGACCGCCTCAATCTGAGTCTCCAGCTGGCGACTAACCTCCACTGGAGTAAACAGTTTGAGGCCCTAACGAACCAAACCTCCACTACCGAAGCAAATTTGGTACAGAATAGTGAATTGGCTCCTCGACTAAAGTCGCCAATTCACTACCTTCAAACAAGGGTGCTCTATCAACCTAGGCAGATATTCTCTTCCTATGTGAAAGCAGAAACAACAGGAATTTGATCAGGATTCATACTATTCAATGAATCAAACCTCAATTGAATATAATCAAATCATAGATATCTGTACTTGGGTTCATACAATCAAACCTAACATACAAATCTAGGGTTCTCCATACCCAGATGAATGAGGAAGTTACTTCATGGAGAGAGAAGCAAACGCAAGCTCAGATGCAGAAATCATGCTGTGAAGGATGAGAAAATGTACCTGGTCGTCAATCCGCACTTCTCCAAGTGTGAGCTGAGCTCCAATGGTGATGAAGATCAAGCTAGGGCACTTGGGAACTATGGTTCGTCGCTCTCTCTCTCTAGGAATCGCTTTCTTTCTCTAAAACTCGGAACCCTTGATTTTTAGCCTTCTTTTCCCTTAAAAAGCTGTATGTCGCGATCCCCGGCCTGAATACCCGGTCGGGTATTTTGGGTGCGACCGGGTATAATCAAAACGCATCGTCGGGTGACAGGGGAATATCCCCTGTCATGGCCAAGAATCCCCTACCAGGGATTTTAGCGTCACAACAGGGCCCCCTTGTGTTTTTCAGAGAATCGCGAAACCAATTTTCCCCGGTCGGGTATTTTGCAGTTCCGGGTCCCCTATCTTTCATTCTTCGTTTCTCCCTCGTTCGGACTCCAAATCAGGTGTCGTTTGATTCCAGACGCTCGTAGTCTCGTCCTCTTTCTTTTCATGACAAGATTACATGATAATATGGTCACAAACTGAGATAGAAATCCATTCTTCTTCAAGTCATACCAGAGTTTCTTCCCTCGAGTCGCCAATTGATCTCCGATTGACTTAAAACTTGCGCCTACGCTTCACTTTATGTGATAGGACCTGAAATGTCACAAAGGAAGACAACCTAGCGTAAAATAGGCAAAAGAAGCAATAATGCAAGATTAAACGATCAAGAAACAAAGGGGAAAACATGTGCAAATATCGAGTCATCAAATCCCCCCACACTTAACCGTTTGCATGTCCCCAAACAAACCTAACTCAAACCAATGCAACTCTTCAGACCTCTATAGCAATATACAACCCTGATCGTCGGTAGAGGATTTTCTAGATCATATAGCAACTTACGAGGTCAACTGGTCTTCTAAGACGTTCCCTATCTCTCTCAATGCGATTACTAAACTCAAGCCAGGATCATGAGAAGAAGTAGAAGTAAGGCAGTCAGTTCATGGATAAAGGGACTCATATCATTCACAACTAAGGACTCGTTGTACCGGGGTGCTCTTTCACTTCATTTCACTGTTTTTCGCTTTCATTTTACTTTATTTTTCTTTTTCCATTCACTTGGTGAGGGTTCCAACTGCAGTCTTTTGCACGGTCGACCCTTATTAGTCGAGCAAGAGCAATTTCTGTACATCTAGCGCTCGCCAGAGTACTTCTTTTAACTCCTTTTCCTCAACTCGTGTGGAGGGTCAATGAAATTAAGGGGGGTCGGAAGCTCTATCCTTACCCATAAAAACACATCTTCAAGTAGGCCAACCGTTCAACGGGTGGAAGTTTTACTTGTACTAGAGACAGCTTAGCTTCACCTTGTAGGGGTACCCCATTAAGGATCACTAAAATCTCCTCCAATACCCGATTTTGTGCAATGAGCGGTGCCACACACGTTGGGCTTTCCCCATGTTTAAGATTTCGATGATTTCGACATGGAGGACCAACTGCTTTTCATTTTCCACATGAGCACCCTGTTCGATACACGAGTCCATAACACAATCCAAATAGAGTCACCATTACCACATGAATTCAACGGTCTTAGCTCCACTAATTCACAAAATCAACTTGCACAGCAGAGAGCTAGATAGGAATAATCTTATACTTCAACATCCTCCATGGTACTACACTACCTCCCTAGGTTGCACATTACTATAGAGACTGTCAATTCAAAGCATACTGAGAAGGCAATTTGCATGGAAACGCGTACTTGGAGCTTCAAATTTAAAAATTTGGACAGTGGACTAGGCTCCAAGCACACAAACAGATCTAATGCAGTCAAAAGAGAAACATCCCCCCCACACTTAAGTTCGACATTGCCCTCAATGGAGAAGAGGGAAGGATAAGGGGAACGATGTTACCGGTGTGCACAGACTGCATAAGACTGTAAGCGGACTAGTCTGAGTGAAGCGGACTGGAGAAAGGACCAGTGGGGGACACAGGCACAGCTAAAAGGAACAAAAGAACTCAAACACAATATGTTAGGTCCAATGGACAAACCAATATTTCATTATCCAAAACAAAAGAAAACAAACCAAAACCAAACCAGTTTGCAATCCGACCCAAAACAAAAGAAATAAATGAAAACCGTGGTGGGGTTGCCTCCCCACAAGCGCTTCTTTACCTTCTTTTAGCTGGACGCTCATGGTGGATAATCAGCGTGGTGCAGGAAAAGGTGCCTCCAAGAGCGGATCCACATCGCTCTTGAGGTACAGCTTCAGGTGGTGGCCATGCACCCGCCGGGTGCAACCACCAGCATTGGTCAGCTCGACCTGGCCATCCGGCAAGATGCAGGCGAGTACTCGGATGGCCAGGGTGGTCGTGATGCAGGAGGTGGGACCAGCTCATAGTGGTCTCCACCTTTTTTCCGAGTAGGCTTAGCCACCTGCGGCTTCGGCCGCCACTCCTCTTTGATCTTTTTGTTTGGCGGTGAGGTTGACGACAGTGGCGGCGAAGGTGTGAGAGGGGGATCCCGCAAAACGAGAGGCACAGAGGGATACACGACAAGCTCGTATTCCTGATGAGAAATAGCATGCGTAGGTGTGACAGCAGGCATATCACAATGATCTAATTCAGACACAGAAAAAGTAGCATGTTCATTCCCAGCACGCAGGATCAGTTTTTCATCATGCACATCAATAAGTGCCTTGGCGGTGGCAAGAAATGGTCTACCTAGAATCATAGGCACATCCACATCCTCATTTATATCCAAAACAACAAAATCAACATGATATGTGAATGAACCTACATTAACAAGCAGATCCTCTATGATACCCCTAGGATGCATGATAACGATGTAATTGCACATATTTGCACCCCTAATTCTTAACTGTTTGAGATGTGGTTTCTCGTGTTTTAGACCGATTTCACGCTAGGTTGTGCTTGTTTGTGATATTTCAGGTCCTGGCAAGTGAATGAAGGTTTAGGAGCGAGTTCGGGGTCGATTGGGCGAAGATCGGGCGCGTGGCGAGGTGCTAAGGAAGCTGCACGGGCACACACAAGCATCACACAGCCGTGCAACTGGAAAAACTGGCCGTGTGAGAAGCTGGAGCCAAAACACGGGCAGGACCAAAAGGAAAACACGGCCGTGTTCTGTGGCCGTGTTTTTACTGCCGAGAGCAAAATTCGTCTTGGAAAATTGTGGCTAAAAACACGGGCAGAAGCACGGCCGTGTCAACCAAAAGCACGGCCGTGTCCTATCCAAAACACGGCCGTGTTTATCCCAACTGCTGGCCGTGTAATTAAACCCTGGCCGAGGCACGGGCGGGCTCAGGCAAAGCACGGCTGTGCCCTCGACCGTGCTTTGGCCAGTGATGCCCTTTTAATCAGATTTTCAGCCAAACAGAAGGGGATTCGAGTTTTTGAGAGAGAGAACGATTCCTAGGGAGAGAAAGCGACGAACAAGAGTCTCCAAGTGCCATAGATTGATCTTTAACACCATTCGAGGCCAGCTTGAGCTTGGAGAAGTGCCGATCAACGTCCAGGAGTAGGAAATCATCCTTCACAGTATGAATTCCGCGTCTGATTTTGCTTTTGCTTCTTTCTCCATGGAGTAGTTCTCCCATTCATCTGGGTATGGAGAACCCTAGATTTGTATGTTAGGCTTTGATTGTATGAACCCAAGTATTGATTCTATGATTTGATTATATTCGATTGAGGTTTGAATAATTGAATGACTTGAATCCTGATCAAATTCCTTTTGTTTCTGCTTTAACCTAGAATGAGAATATCTGCCTAGGTTAATAGAGTATCCTTGATTGAAGGTAGGGAGTTGGTGACTTCAGTCGAGGAACCAACTCACTATTCTGTACCGGATTTACTCCGGTAGTGGAGGTTTTGTTCTTAGGGCCTCAATCTGTCTACTCCGGTGGAGGTTAGTCGCCCGCTAGAGATTCAGATTGAGAGGGTCTGAAGACCTTTAGTCGAGACTTCAGGCTGTTTAAGAACCTTCCGCAGTATAACTTCCATAGAAACTGAACTTGGTGATTACAATCCGGCTTAACTGCAATCTAGGGGGAACCATATCCGGGTGACCTCTCTTAACCTGAATACAACAGTTTACTTGCTTTGTTAGTTTGATAGTTTAGACTTGCATGCCAGTTTCATTGCTAGATAACAAGAATTCACTGAGTAGTCATCAGATCTAGGACCCGGGTTGATAATTAAACCTAACCCCGCTATACTACGCTTTAGGAAGTGATTACACTTGGTCAATTCCTAGAGTGACAGTAGAAGTGAGTCAAGTTTTTGGCGCCGTTGCCAGGGACGGCTAGGTTGTTAAAGAAAAGTGATTTCTGTTAATTTAGCTTTTCTTTTTGCTTTGTTTGCTTTGTCCCACTTGTGCCGTCACGGGTTTGCTTGCTTGAGTGTGTGCAGGTAGTGCATGACCCGTAGCCAGTCAGGAGGTTTACTGCCGTTGAATCCAGAGATTGACCGCACCTGTCGCCAGCTCAGGAGACAACAGCGAGCTAGACTGGCTACGGAAGAGCGCATAGACGGCCACGTGAGCAGTGATTCTGAGGAGGAGTACGAGATGGAAGACTACAATCAACACCAGGGGAATCCTCAGCAGGCTCCCCCGGTGAATCAGGTCCTGGGGAACAACCCCATACCCCAGGATCATGGAGTTCATCATCCACCGCAGCCGGGTCCCACCTTGGAGTACTACTACACTCCGCGGATTGCTGACATCCGCCCGGGCATCCTCTACCCGCCTATTCCAGCAAACAACTTCGAGATCAAGCCATGCTGGATTCAGCTCATCACATCTTCTATCCAGTTCCATGGCTTGAAGGATGAGGAGGCCAGGGTGCATCTTTCCCGTTTTCTGCAGCTGACGAACGGGTTCAAGCTGAATGGTGTCCCGGATGATGCAATCCGTCTTCATCTCTTCCCCCATTCTCTGGCGGGGAATGCTAAGAGGTGGTTGGAGACCCAGCCCCCATTGTCCATCACCTCTTGGGACGATCTGGCTGACAAATTCGTGCACAGGTACTACCCGGCATCGAAGACTACAGAGATACAGCGGGAGATCACTCACTTCCGCCAAGAGCCAGATGAGTCACTTCGTGATGCATGGGAGCGGTACATGGGCTATTTCTGGCAGTGTCCCCATCATGGCTTCAGTGATGCATTCACAGTGGGGAACTTCTACAGTGCCCTCTCTCCAGATAGCCAGAGGATGATTGAGTCTCTATGCCCAGGAGGGGATGTTCTCACTAAGACTCCACCCGAGCTGAACCAGATGATTAATACTTTGGCTGCCAGGGATCATTCCTGGGGGCAGAGCAGCCAAGGCAGACATTCCCGGGACCGTGGTGTGCACGCCATGGAGACCAGATCCGGGCTCGAGCAGCAGGTAGCTGAGCTAGTGCAGACCTTGAAGCAGCCCAACAGTCTGATTCCGGGCAGAGGTTTGGCTACACCTCCAGTAGCTCAATGTCAGTGGTGCGAGAGCTCCAATCACCTAGTGGAGGACTGCCAGGCTATGAGGGAGTCTACCACACCCCAGGAGCAGTTGGCCTTCATCGCCAATGCGCGGTGCCTCGATCCATACAGTAACACATATAATGAGGGGTGGCGCCAGCATCCCAACTTCGCCTGGAGCAGCAACACCACTAAACCACCTGGTTTCCCAGCACCAGCAGGTGGTTTTCAGCAAAGGCAGCCCTTCCAGGCTCGGCAGGGGCCAGACCCACAGCAGCAGCCCTACCAGCCTAGGCAGGGACAACCATTCCAGCAGCCCCAGCGCCAGTTTGCCGAGCCAGCAGCAGCTCCGGCCCCAGATGACAGGATGACGAAGCTGGAAAACATTCTAGCTTCGTTCATGACTACCACTCAGGCAACTATCACGAGGTTGGACCAGAGTGTAGCATCACTGGAGGCAGGTCAGCGGAACCAGGGTGCCATTTTGCAGGATCTGCAGACCTAGGTGGGCATCTTGGCCCGCCAAAACACCACCAGGGCACTGGGGACTCTGCCTGCCACCAGTGTCCCGAATCCTCGAGAGCCTCACCAGCATCAGCAGTTGGATGCCATGTTTACCAGGAGCGGTAAGACCATATCTGCTGATCCTGTCCCGGCCAGACAGGAGGAACCACTACCTGCTTCAGCACTTCCAGCCGACGATACAGAAGTGCGTGTGGAGAAGGAAGCCCCTGCTCCCAAGCCACAACCAGTGGTTAAGGAGCATGTGCCCTAGCTTCCCTTCCCCACTCGCTTACACAAAGACAAGCTGGAGACTGAGTTTGCCAAGTTCATGGCAATGTTGAAGCAGCTCAACATCAGCATGCCTTTTGTGGAGGCACTGTCGAAGATGTCCAAGTACGCGAAGTTCATGAAAGATCTCTGCACCAACAAGAAGAAACTTGGGGATCTCTCGACAGTGTTGCTGAGCGAGGAGTGTTCTGCTATCCTGCAGAACAAGCTGCCCGAGAAGCGCAAGGATCCAGGGAGTTTTACTATCCCTCTTACTATTGGCAGCATGCATGTAGGCAAGTCCTTGGCGGACCTAGGTGCTAGCATAAATGTCATGCCATATAAGTTGTTTGATCGTTCTATCGTGCATCCTAGGGGTATCATAGAGGATCTGCTTGTTAATGTTGGTGCATTCACATATCCTGTTGATTTTGTTATTCTGGATGTAAATGAGGATGTGGATGTGCCTTTGATTCTGGGTAGACCATTTCTTGCCACCGCCAAGGCACTTATTGATGTGCATGATGGTAAACTGATCCTGCATGCTGGGAATGAACATGCTACTTTTTCTGTGACTGAGTTTGATCACTGTGTTATGATTGCTGTCACGCCTGTACATGCTATGTCTGATCAGGTACACGAGCCTGTCGTGTATCCTTCTGCACCTCCTATTTTGCAGGACCCTCCTATCATCCCTTCGCCGCCACTCCATCCAGCCTCGCCTCCGAACAAAAAGCTCAAGGAGGAGTGGCGGTGATAGCATCGTATTTGCACGTGTTTTCACTCTGGTTTCCTGTTCATTTTGGCTCGAATTGATTGTTCCTTCGCCTATTTTACGCTAGGTTGTGTTGTTTTGTCGTATTTCAGGTCCTAGCAAGTAAAGAGGTGCATAGGCGCAAGTTTCAGGTCATTTGGAGGTCAATTGGCGAGTCACAGAGAGAATTACGGGCAGCCCCTGCCAAATTACGGCCGTAATTGGCCAGGGCATGCCCGTAATTAAATGGCCGAGCCTTCTCCCCAGAATTCCCTCTCGGTGGTAAAATTACGGGCAAGATCCTAAGAATTACGACCGTGATTCCCGAATCCCAGTGGCGGTAATTGGGAAATTACGGGCGTACCTCCTCCTCCTGCAGCTTAAGTGAAACGTGCGTTTTGGTGTGAAT